CTGAAGACGCGCCTCATGTCTGTAATGTGAGGGGCCCTTGTCGGATGCATAGTATACTTGAACCCAAACATGACTGCTCAGTAGTTCAGTAGGATATCATTGTTCTGGATAAAACTCGCCTCTCATTTGTGCCCCTAACCCCTGAGGGCCGAGGAAGAGGGAGTCGGAGCAAACCCACAACAGGGATCAAAGAAAGACGGGGTGTTTGGCACAGTTTGGAGTTGGTGATGGTCGTCTGAAAACTCTCAGCCTCTGCTTTTAGCTGTCGTCTCAGACAGAAGTGGTCTTTATCTTTTTTGTGTGCCTCTTGTGCCCATATCCAGCAATCACCTTGTGAGAGGTGGGGGACACCCTGGACAGGTCTCCATTCCATCACAGAGACACATAGAGACAAACAACCATTCACTCTCTCACTCACACCTAGGGACAATTTAGAGTTACTAATCAGCCTAACATGCATGTTTTTGGTCTGTGGGAGGAAACTGGAGTACCTGGAGAATACTCACGCATGCACAGAGAGAACAAGCAAGCTCACCCCAGAAAAGTTCCCGGCTGGGATTTGAACCGGCGACCTTCTCACCGAGAGACAGCAGCTCTACCAACTGAGCCACATTAATATATACGTAGTCCGCACACTCCCCCGCCAACTCGTTTGAGGCAGTCATGGCCAAACAAAATTTTGGCCATGATTATGTCCACCCACTTTGTGAAGGTGTTATTTATAAGACTGAGTTTGTTGCAGCTCCTCAGACTGAAGAAGTCTTTTGGATGAAAGATGAAATGTTTCAACAAAAGAAACTGCCCAGAGGACCTGACTTAACTTTGTTAAATTTTTCGACCTGGATTATTGAGCATAAATCTTGTAAATGAGGCCTTGTGGCTCAATGAGACCAATCTGTAGAAATAAAAGTTGAATGAATGAATGGATCAGAAACTTCAAAAATACATTTTCTGTCTTATATTCATCATTTATAACAAGAAAACAGCACATTTAAACCAAATTTAAGAAACTAAATAGGTGCATATGTGCACATGGCTGAGTTGCATGGTGGAGGGCTGGAGTTTTATACAAACCGGATTCCGAAAAAGTTGGGACACTAAACAAATTGTGAATAAAAACTGAATGCAATGATGTGGAGGTGCCAACATCTAATATTTTATTCAGAATAGAACACAAATCACAGATCAAAAGTTTAAACTGAGAGAATGTATCATTTTAAGGGAAAAATCTGTTGTTTCCAAATTTCATGGTGTCAGCAAATCCCAAAAAAGTTTGGACAAGTCCATTTTTACCACTGTGTGGCATCCCCCCTTCTTCTTACAACACTCAACAGACATCTGGGGACAGAGAAGACCAGTTTCTCAAGTTTAGAAATAGGAATGCTCTCCCATTCATGTCTAATACAGGCCTCAAACTGTTCAATCGTCTTGGGCCTTCTTTGTCGCACCTTCCTCTTTATGATGCGCCAAATGTTCTCTATAGGTGACAGATCTGGACTGCAGGCTGGCCATTTCAGTACCCGGATCCTTCTCCTACGTAGCCATGATGTTGTGATTGCTGCAGAATGTGGTCTGGCATTATCGTGTTGAAAAATGCAGGGTCTTCCCTGAAAGAGATGATGTCTAGATGGGAGCACATGTTGTTCTAGAACCTGAACATAGTTCTCTGCATTAATGGTGCCTTTCCAGACATGCAAGCTGCCCATGCCACAAGCGCTCATGCAACCCCATACCATCAGTGATGCAGGCTTCTGAACGGAGCGTTGATGACAACTTGGGCTATCCTTGTCCTCTCTGGTCCGGATGACATGGCGTCCCAGTGTTCCATAAAGAACTTCATATTGTGACTCATCTGACCACAGAACAGTCTTCCATTTTGCCACACTCCATTTTAAATGACCCCTGGCCCAGTGCAAACGTATGAGCTTGTGGAGCTTGCTTAGAAATGGCTTCCTATTTGCACTGCAGAGTTTCAGCTGGCAACGGTGGATGGCACGGTGGATTGTGTTCACTGACAATGCTTTCTGGAAGTATTCCTGAGCCCATTCTGTTATTTCCTTGACCGTGGCATTCCTGTTTGAGGTGCAGTGACGTTTAAGGGCCCGGAGATCACGAGCATCCAGTAGAGTTTTACGGCCTTGACCCTTACGCACAGCAATTGTTCCAGATTCTCTGAATCTTTTGATGATGTTATGCACGGTTGATGATGATAACTTAAAAGTCTTTGCTATTTTACGCTGGGTAACACCATTCTGGTATTGCTGCACTATCTTTCTGCGCAACAATGGTGGAATTGGTGATCCTATTACCATCTTGGCTTCTGAGAGACACTGACACTCTGAGAAGCTCTTTTTATACCCAGTCATGTTGTCAATTGACCTAATTAGTGTTAATTGGTCTTCCAGCTGTTCGTTATATGCTCAATTTCCTTTTTCCAGCCACCTATTGCTACTTGTCCCAACTTTTTTGGGATTTATTGACACTGTGAAATTTTGAATCAACATATTTTTCCTTTAAAATGTTACATTTACTCCGATTAAACTTTTGATCTGTCATCTATGTTACATTACGAATAAAATATTGACATTTGCCATCTCCACATCATTGCATTCAGTTTTTATTCACAATTTGTTTAGTGTCCCAACTTTTGTGGAATCTGGTTTTTACCTTTGGAAAATAACAAGAGGAAATGTGCAAATTTTGACTTTCAAATTAGAAAATGAGTTTAGCTCAAATAAAAGAAAAAAAGTTTACTGTTGGGCTCTTTGGTGTGAATCAGACACATCTGGTCACGTCACTATCTGTATGTTTTTATTAGGAATGAACATGACCACTCACAACGTAACATATATGTTGGAGGCAAATGAGTCAAGCTTATACAGTGATGGTTCCACAAACAAGTCCAACAGAGTTGGTCCAACTGTATTTAAACAGAGGGAAGTAGTCTAGTTGTCACTGTATTCAGACTTTTTAAAATGTTTTATTCATTTCAAGTGTATCTTAGTAAAATGAAAGGAAATTAATATAATTTTTGTCTTATTGTCAGAGCAGGGACGGATCAAGGAAAGAATCTTGACTAAAATAAAATAGTTCTCTTGTGGAGCTCTCTTGTCTACATTTATGACTTGAAGAAGACATTTGCTATTTTTGTTTCTACTTTGTATAAAATGGTCATTCTAGTCAAATTTATTTTTAATAATAAAATCATTTGCTGCAACACACTCTAGAACTCAGAGTGCCTCCAAAAGTGTAAAAAGAGAAACGCTAACTTCCCAAGAGTCTTCTTGACATATTGATTAAAAAATTCTAAACTCACCTATAAAGGATCATAACTACGTCATATGAATTAAAACACAAACAATTTTGACTCTGTCTTTGTCTTGAGTTTGGGCACTTCATGGCTGTATGTCATTTTAATGTTGACCACAAATAATTGAGATGTGTTGCCATGTTCAGGTCTTGTTACTGAACTTTCATTCACACGCTGACATCTAGTGTTGTATTTATGAATGCACAGAACTTGAACAGATCTTGTCAGACTGTAAAACTACAAGTGACATATAAGCTTGTTTACCTTGCAAATTAAACTCCACTCTCAATGGAGTCATTAGGGTTTTGTCAGCTTGGCTCACAAAATTGTTCTTTGGTCACATACATGAAGTCGTTCATTAGAGGGAAAAGGATTTGGTATCAAGCCCAAAGCTCCACGGGAAGTTTTAGACCTTTTGTACATGTGAACAATCACTTGAAATAGTATAGATTTTCAGATGCTGAGTGTGAAATGTGCACAAAGCAAAGCTGCAACCACTGTTTAAATGAGACCTTAAAAAGTGCTGACTCAGCTGTAGTTCCCATGCAAGGTCACTAGCTGGTGCTGGCTTTTTTTTGTATTTCAGTGACATACACATGCAAAGACTTCAGTCAAGAAAACAGTTACATTTGATTTTGAATCCAAATATATTTGTTTGGACTGACCACTGTCCCAAGGTATGGTGCAGCATGTACAAGTTTTGTGTCATAAGTTTTAGTAAACTGAAAGGATTGGACAGAACAAACAGCACTCTGCTGTGTGCCATTATTAACTGTTGTTCATCCACTTGGGCATGCACAGAAAAACAACAAAAAAGGCACTAGTGTACATGAACAGCTGAAATATATATATATATAAAAAATTAAAAGATAAGCGTTACAGTTTCACTTCAAAACAGTGTTGCCTTTGCAGTCTTTCCGTGTGCATGCGTAACATTTTTACAATCAACATTAGAAAATGAAAAAGGTTTCCAGGAGATGATCACATGTAAACAGTGTCTAAAAGCTTGGAACTCCACACTCTTCAGTTTTTTTTTTAGTTTTTTTTTTATTGTTATTGCAAAAGTACCATTTAACATTCCATGCATACGTAAAAGCTACAGTATATTAGGTTTAAAAACGTGTTTAATGATGTTCAAAACTAAATTTAAATTTGCTGGGTGGGTTAGACAACTTTAAACTGATTGGTTTTAGTCCCAAAAGCAATCTTCTGTTTATCTGTACAGAATCAGCACCACCTCAGGTAAAAATACTTAAACATCATGTTAGACGACTGAAACCACAGAACACTTACACTTTGGTGTCAACAATTCAAACATTTCATTTGAAAATGTCTACAGCAACACACACAAAACAAGTTCAAAGAGTTTTGTCCACCATAGAAAAAGTGGAGATGTGTTTATAGTCAAAATGTCGGGCACCTTTTAAAGCAAAACTGTCAATCAATCTTACAGTCACATAATCCTGAAACTTCAAGTAAAGTGTCCATTGACTTGACAAGGAATTGCAAAAAGTTTGTAAAATAAGTTTAATCATTTATAGTTTGATGACCTGAGCATATATATGCTATTAAAATTTTGTAGCTTCTTACTCCACATGTCAATAAATACAAATAAATCAAATGCCAAAGATGAGGAGTGGAAATCTTCACTTGTTCATCCTCTGGAAGCATGACATGTAAAACTCAGGACTGCATTGAACTCAGTGCTACAAAAAGAAGTGCAATTTATTCTAAAGTTTGTACACCAGTGCTGCACTTCAACATGTGCCGTGTGTTGTCTATGATGGACACTTGGTGTTGCAAGCATCACCTGACTGGAAAAGTCCATAAACACTGACCAATGGAAACAGGGATACAGCACCAAGCATGGAGCCCAGCTGCACTACAGCCCCACACCAAACGAGGGCGCTGTGGCCCTCATCTCTTAGAATCACACCAATGATGACCTTCACATAGGACAGTGACAGGACAAACAGGACCCAGGCCAGCACCTGAAGAAAGCAGAAAGACAAAAATGTGACTAAAATTATGTCTGCTCCCTATAATGCAGACAGAAGTCAGAAAGGAAATTGTCCTGATTTGACTACCGTGACCATCCTGAAATACATTTTTATAAAAAAAAAAAATTAAAAAAAGAGTCACAATCAGGGGCAGCACGGTGGCACAACTGGTAGAGCTGCTGCCTCTCAGCGAGCAGGTCCTTGGTTCAAACCCTGGTCCAGGGACCTTTCTGGGTGGAGTTTGCATGTTCTCTCAGTGCATGCGCGGGTTTTCTCCGGGTACTCCGGTTTCCTCCCACAGACCAAAAACATGCATGTTAGGCTGATTGGTAACTCTAAATTGTCCCTAGGTGTGAATGAGAGAGTGAATGGTTGTTTGTCTCGTTTGTCTCTATGTGTCCCTGTGATGGACTTGCGACCCGTCCAGGGTGTACACCACTCCTCGCACAGTGATTGCTGGACATGGGCACCTGCAACCCCCGTGACCCAAAATGGAACAAACGGGTAAAGATAATGGATGGATGGATGGATGATTATTTTTTCTCGGTATATTTAACTGAGAAGTTTTTTCATTTACATCTGAACAAGTATGACAATATAAATTTAAACGTGTATGAACTTTGTACAAGGTATCTAACAAAGCTTGAGTGTGACATGTGGATGGTATGTCCATTCTTTCATAAAGGTTTTGTTTACATTTTAAAGAAATTTAGGTTGTATGCACAACTTGAAGATTTTAGAATATTCTAAATGAAGACCAGTATAGAAAAGTTGTCTTACTATTGCAAAAGTCCCTGAGGTAGTGTGGACCAGCAATGGGCAAGGACTCAGAGCAGCCATGGCCATGATGTAGGCTCCAAAACCAGTACCAAAAATGGTCAAAAACCCCATAAAGGCAAGAGACCTGGAAACAAAGTTACAAGAGATGAAACATAACAGCCCGATTTTTAACCAGTACAGGCAAAAGAAAGCACATTACACCAGTCTTGGCTTCACTGCACTGGTTATCGTTTCACTTTCGAATCCAGCTAAAAAAAATACTCCTGTATGTCTACAAAGTACAAATCACTGAACAGTTTCACCCCCCC